CGTCTGTTTGTGTCCTGTTCCTATAGGGGGAGGGCAGATCAAGGTATATCGTCGGATATCAGAAAGAAAAGAAATCAGGGCAGACATGCAAGATCTGGGTGCCAGGACCTCAACGCTGGAAGACCAAATGGCAGAACAGGCTGACACTCATAAAGAACTGAGGGCAGACATGGAGGAGATGCAGGACACCTTGGAGGCCCTGGGCAACAAAGTAGCAGACATGGAGGACAGATCGCGGCGCAACAACCTCAGGATCAGGGGTATAGCAGAATCGGTGAGCACGGCAGATCTCCATGCCCACCTACAGAGCCTGTTTAAAATCCTAGCACCGGATTTACCCCAAGACCTACTCCTGCTGGATAGATACCATCGAGTTCCGAAGCCCAGATTTTTAACCACCGACGCGCCAAGAGATGTGCTAGTACGCTTGCATTACTTCCACGTTAAGGAAGACATTATGAGAGCAAGCAGACAGTGCCAATCCCTCCCAGAGCCGCACCAGAGAACAACCATTTATGCAGACATCTCAGCCGCAACACTGAAAAAGAGGAAGACTTTCGCGGCCATCACAGAGCAATTGCGGCAACATAAGAAGCCATACAGATGGGGATTTCCGGTAAAGCTGCTCATCTCCCATGAAGGCACAATCACAGCCATCCACACCCCTGAAGCGGGCCTGAAAGCACTCCAGGACTGGGGAATACCGCCTCCACCCGCCCCAGCCGCCGCGCCGGACCGCAGCGGGGTTACATCCATGTGGTGGAAGGTGCCCAGACGCAGATAGACGGCGCAAACACCGCAGGACGTGGCAAGTAAAATTGAGAGACTTTGGGACTATGCACAGCTCTTGAGACACCTGGGACAATATCAAGCGGGGGGGGGCCGAGAACCCAGTAGCATGGGACACACTAAGGGAATAGAAGGACACCCTAGAGTTAGGGTTTGCTACAGACCCCACAGCACTACTCAAGCCACGCACAGCGCGGGTGACTAGCTTATCACAAGACGGTTAGGCCGCAAAAGGCTTCACACAGGAATGGAAGCAATACGCTTCTTCCCCCAAGGCACCTTGGACAGGCGCCAAGCCAGATATATGGCAGTTTGTACAGTTTTAGTTTTGTTCTGTTATTACCCCAGTTGTCAATCAGAGAATGCACAACACAATGACCACATCCCCCACACTCTACCTAGGGAAAGAACCCCCTACGGGGACACAACACATCAGATTCACAAGGGAGAGTCGCCTGGTTCGAAATGGCTGGGTAAGGCGGCTACCCCACACATAGACACCGACGCTTATCAGGGTAAGCAAATAACAACTTTTAAACCCCCATGAAAATATACACCCACAATACCAAAGGCTTAGACAGCCCCGCAAAACGCAGCTTACTACGCCGGGATTTGAAACAAAACAACCCGGACGTAGTGTGCCTACAGGAAACTCACTTTAAAACGAACTCACACTCCCCACTGTTCGTACAAGACTTCCCGCACCAGTTCCACGCTACCTATTCAAACAAGTCAAAGGGAGCCTCCATACTTATTAGCAAAGATGTAGCGTTTACCCTTTCACATCTAGAAGTGGAAGAGGGAGGGAGATATGTCCTGGTGGTGGGCGACTTTAATGACATCACGTACACGATCATGAACGTCTATGCCCCAAACGAAGGACAAAAACTTTTCCTCCATAAAATAATAAAGAAACTAGAAACAACACAAAAGGGGATTAGTATAATATGTGGGGACTTCAACCACGTGATGGACCCCACGGTAGACTCCACGGCGTCGCCAGCAGCACCCAGAATGCGACCGCTCAAACGTCAATGCAAAGCAATACAAACACTACTCAATACACACCACTACTACGACGTGTGGCGGGCGACACATATTGGGGAAAGGGGCTACACGTTCTTCTCCACGGTACATAACACGTACTCCAGGATTGACGGCATACTAGTTAAGGGACAACACCTAGACCAAATAAAAGAATGCGACATCAAACAGTTCACATGGTCAGACCATGCACCGGTAGTAGTGACTTTGACCGACCTATACGACTCCAAGCACAGAAGCCCCTGGAGACTTAACGCCTCTCTCCTCAGGGACCCCAACTTCTGTAAAACATTAGAAAGAGCACTGCGACACTACTTCGCGGAAAATACGACAGCCCAGGTATCCCACAATACGATTTGGCAGGCACACAAAGCCGTAGCACGAGGACTCTTGATCCAAAGAGCAGCAACCCTCAAACGACAGGCAGACACACAACACCAGGAGAGGCAGAAAGAACTACTAGACATCACGACCCTAAACCAAAGGAACCCCTCACAAGACCTAAAGAAACGCATTATTCAGCTCACGCATGACATGCACAAACAAGCACTAGATAGAACAGGACAGCACCTCCAGAGGCTTAAAGCGATACAGTACGCTCAAGGAAACAAGGCAGGCAAACTAGTGGCACAGCGCCTCAAAACAATCCAAACTAAACAAAAGATAGCATACATCCGAACGGAAGAGGGTCACAAAATTACAGCCCCCAAGGACATTAGCAATGCGTTCGCCAAATACTACGCATCCCTTTATAATCTGGTGAATGATGCCAAAACACATCAACCAAATTCACAGAACATACAACAATACTTGCACAAGATACCAATGCCCTCACTGACACTGCAACAACGACACACACTCTCCGCCAGCGTCACCGAAGAGGAGGTGGATGCAGCAATCCAACAGCTCCCAACAGGCAAGGCCCCAGGCCGAGATGGCTTTGCTAACTGCTACTACAAAGCATTCAAACCCATCCTGGTGCCATATTTAATGAAAGCTTATAACGAAGCCACTCAACAACAAAGCTTACCCCGTGAAACACTATTAGCCCACATCATAACGCTACCCAAGCCCGGAAAGCCGCCCACCTGCCCCCAAAACTTCCGCCCTATCTCCCTCCTCAACACCGACGCCAAACTATATGCTAAAATATATGCACACAGGTTGGGAAGCCTGCTTCCTCACCTCATCCACTCGGACCAAGTGGGGTTCATAAAAGGCAGACAGGGGGGAGACAACACCAGGAAAGTGCTTGACATAATATACAGTGCCCAACGCATGAGAATAGGAGGCGTGGTGGTAGCACTGGACGCAGAAAAGGCCTTTGACCGACTGAACTGGGAGTTCCTGGAGGCGGTCCTTACTAAGGTCGGGATACCAGAGGGCTTCCTCTCAGCGGTCAGGGCTCTATACAACAGGCCAATGGCCCAAGTCCTAAATGTGGGGTTCGTGTCAGATCCCTTCCACATAACTAATGGATCACGCCAGGGGTGCCCGCTATCCCCACTACTATATGTTTTAGCGCTGGAACCGCTAGCGATAGCCATAAGACAACACGCCTCAATACATGGGGTGACTATAGGGGACAAGGAATATAAAACAAACTTATTTGCCGACGACGTGCTGCTCACCCTGACACAACCCCAGATATCTCTCCCCAACCTGGTGGAAACAATTCTAGAATATGGACGGCACTCGTACTATAAACTAAACATTAGCAAGACTCAAGCCATGGGAGTAGGGATAGGGACGGACGCTCTAGATAGACTAAAATCGGCCTTTTCATTCGACTGGAGAACAGACCACATTACGTTCCTAGGCATAAACATCCCGACCCAATTAAATAAGCTAATAGAAAAAAACTACACCAAACTCTACAAAGAACTAGCAGCGACTCTAGAAGGTTGGGAGGGCAAATATTTATCATGGGTAGGGAGGCTGGCAGCATTGAAGATGATGCTGCTTCCCAAACTCCAATATCTTCTACGCACACTACCCATAAAGCTACCCAAAACATACTTTAAAACGCTGCAGAGTCTCCTGGTCCGATTCATATGGGCAAAGAAAAAACCAAGGGTGGCAGCCTGGGTCCTACAAAGACCAATCGAAAAAGGAGGACTGGGGCTACCAAATATCCACACTTACTATAAGGCCGCACACATAGCAGCTATCAAAGCATCTACGACAGAAGGGGAAACCCCACAATGGTCCAAAATAGAAGCCCACTGGGCGGGAGGGTATGGCTTACACAACATATTCTGGCTACCAAGACACCTACGCCCGCACACATCGACCCCCTACCGACCACCTTGACCACCATGGCAATCTGGGATGAGACAAAGGGTAGGGAGAGGGCCCGGGACAGTATACCAGGGAACGCCCCGATCTCCGTGATCGCGGTAGGAATCCCAACATTCGAACATAAACAATGGAGAGATGGAGGACAACAGTCACACATCTATACAAAGAAGGAAAGTTAATGACCTTTCCAGACCTCCAAGAACTATATCACCTCCCAAATAGTGCCATATTCCCATTTCTACAACTGAAGTCCTTTCTCAAGGGGATAGAAGTACAAAACACATCACAGCAACAAGAGTGTAAGTTAGAGCACCTATGCCTCTCACCAAAACCAGCCAAACGCACACTATCTACGCTGTATAAGGAGCTACATAATGAGCTACGGGACACCATTATGCCATTTCAAGAAGCGTGGAACGGGGAACTGGGATACGTCCTACCACCGGAGAAATGGGAGAGGGCCTTTAAAATTCACAAGGGGAACACACAATGCTCCACACATTTAGAAACTATAAGGAAGCTACAATACAGGTGGTATATGGTACCAGAGAGGCTATCCAAAATATACCCAGACTCCCCCAATAGATGCTGGAGATGTGGGGCCCAGGGAGGGTCAATGGGACACACATGGTGGTCATGCGAGAGACTAGCACCACTCTGGGTGACGCTGGAGCAGGAAATAGGGAAGCTGATAGGTAGACACTGGCCACTTAACCTTGAACAATGCGTACTCTTTATGATTCCCACAACACTGAACAAAATAGAGGAACGACTAATCTTCCACATGCTAATTTCTGCAGTAACACTATTAGCCAGAGCATGGAAATCAACCCAGGTGCCGAACAGGGAAGCATTAATAAACCAAGCAGACACCAATTGGAAGTATGAATTAATGGCTTTCAAACACTTGACACCACAGGGAAACATTAAAAAAGCAGGGGAGAGATGGAGGGAATACAGAGAGGGATCAGAGGGGACTCGGAGCCCAGTAGCACCACAGGGGACCGCTGCGAGGTCATTCCAGCATGGGGGGAACCAGGATATAGCAAACAGAGGGTCACCACCCCCGTAAGAAGTGGAAAGAGACGATAGACGTGGAACGTCTCAAGCAGTCGCAGAGGTTAGAATCACACCCCCCCACAACCACCAACCACTAACCACTAACCGCAATAGGGGTTGGGCTCGAAAGGCGACGGCCCTAGAGTGATGAGGGGTACCGGTTGACAATACAAAGGAAAATAAAGAATGGTCATTGCGTAACATTAATGTAACACTAATGTAACCAATGTAACACCAATGTAAATTATTGTTCCTGCACTATCCCCTTTCTTTTCTGTACCCTGGCGAGCAGGCGCCGCAAGATACTTGACAACCATACAATAAAACTTATTTTCAAATTGGAAAAAAAAAAGTTTACTTCAAATTTAAGGCCCCAACATAGCCGAACCTAGGGTCTTTCCCCTCTATGAGAGATTATTATATGCCAAGCACTTGCAGTGCAAAAATTGATTAATTTTATAGAGTAATATGTTTTTATTTTTTACATCTTTTTTTGCGATGAGCTTTTTTAACATTAATTAGTGGCATCAGTTATTATGGATTTTATTTTGAAAAGCAAAGGTAGGAAGTACTTATTAAGGAAGTTCCTCTAGGGTACTGATGTATGAGAGGCTGAAGTAAATAAGTGCAATAGTTAAAACATAAAGGAAAGTATCTATCATGTATATCAAGGCACAGAATTCTGTACCCTAGAGGAATTTCCTTAATAAGGATTTCCTCACTTTGCTTTTTATATTAATATTTCCAGGGTTGATGCCCAGAGTGACGGGGTGCTCCTAAAAAAAGAGGGATATTATTACAAAAAAGAGGAACAGAGGGATCTTGGCCCAAAATATGGAGTGTCCCTCATAAATATGGACACATGAGAGTTATGCAATTGCTCACAGTTGACCAGAAACCAGATTTTCCTTTTGGAAGGGATAGTGAATTAATGGAAATGAGCACCATAGTTGGTAGGATCTAATTCAGCACAGTCATTAAATACTGTAAAGTGTTTTCACATGTTTTTAATCTATTAAAGAAAAATAGCAATACATATCATTGAACAGAACAGAAGGATCAAGTAGAAACATAGAATGTGACGGCAGATGAGAACCATTTGACCCATCTAGTCTGCCCAATTTACTAAATACTTTCATTAGTCACTGGCCTTATCTTATAGCTAGGATAGCCTTATACCTATCCCACGCATGCTTAAACTCCTTCACTGTGTTAACCTCTACTACTTCAGCTGGAAGGCTATTCCATGCATCCATTACCCTCTCAGTAAAGTAATACTTCCTGATAATATTTTTAAACCTTTGTCCCTCTAATTTAAGAATATGTCCTCTTGTCGTGGTAGTTTTTCTTCTTTTATATAGTTTCCTCCTTTACTGTGTTGATTCCCTTTAAGTATTTAAATGTGTCTATCATATCCCCCTGTCTCGTCTTTCCTCCAAGCTATACATGTTAAGATCCTTAAAACTTTCCTTGTACATTTTATCCTGCAATCCATGAACCAGTTTAGTAGCCCTTCTCTGAACTCTCTCTAAAGTATCAATATCCTTCTGGAGATATGGTCTCCAGTACTGTGTACAATACTCCAAGTGAGATCTCAACAGTATTCTGTACAATGGCATGTGCACTTCCTTCTTTCTACTGCTAATACCTCTCCCTATACAACCAAGCATTCTGCTAGCATTTCTAGCTGCTCTATTACATTGTCTGCCTACCTTTAAGTCATCTGAAATAATTACCCCTAAATCCCTTTCCTCAGATGTTGAGGTTAGTACTCAAATATTTTGTACTCTGCCCTTGGGTTTTTACATCCAAGATGCATTATCTTGCACTTATCCACATTAAATGTCAGCTGCCACAACTCTGACCGTTTTTCTAGTTTACCTAAATCATTTAACATTTGGCTTATCCCTCATGGAACATTAACCTTACATACATGTTAGTATCATCAGCAAAAAGACATGCCTTATCAAGACCTTTTGCAATATCACTAATACAAATATTAAAGAGAATAGGTCCAAGTACAGATCCCTGAGGTACTCCACTGGTGACGATCAGGGCTTACCTGAGGTGGGAGTCCGGTAGGCCGAGATATATGCTCACCCTTAGAATTAAACACAGGTCAAGGTGGTCAGGTAATAATCCATCTGGCTGGTATAGCGAGTAGGGGCACAATTTACTAATACTAAGTAATTTTTACTTAGTATTAGTAAATTTGGCTGAAAGACCAGTTTAGGTATTTCAGCCTTTTGGTAGATAACTCCGTGGGAATTAGGGAGTTATCTACCAAGCTGCTGCAAGAAAAGTCCCGAAATGCCGGAGTTCCGAAGTTGCCGAAGTTCCGAAGGTTCCGAAGTGTTCAAGTGCCGAAGTTGCCGAAGTTCCGAAGTGTCGAAGTGCCGAATTGCCGAAGTCCCGAATTGACGAAGTCCCGAATTTCGGAATGCCGAACCGAGCCGAATATTTTCCCCATGCACATGCCTACTAGGAATGTTTAACACCTGGGTGGGCCATATATATATTGTGTATATACACACAATATATAAAAAAAAAAAAAAGTGGGACAGGAATGGGGTGGGAAGGAAAAAAGTTGTTATTCAAAAAATGTCATCCAATAGGGTGGTCAATCCAAACATCCATCTGATCAGGGCCAGCCCTTCCATAGACCGCCGTGGGGCCATGGCTCCAGGCGGCACTCTGACAAAATCTAAAACAGTAGTTCCCAACCCATGGCGGTCGTGCAGTAGCACCGCACGGATTAAGATCCTGTGTGAGGGTCCATCGGATGACCCTAAGGACCCGATAATCAGGGGCCCGGTAATGCGCTGTGGTGCACTGGGCCCCTTCTAACCTGCACAGAAAGCTGGGAGGAAGTGACAGCGTATCACTTCCCAGCTCACTTACACAGCTGTGCGGGAGGAGGGAGCCTAGAGGATGGGGCCGGATTGGGAGAACAGGCCCCCAACTCCCACCAACCACAGCCAGCAGAAGGTAAGAACCTGGGTGGCTTAATTTTTTTTAATGTATGTTTGTATGTGTGTGTATCTGTTTGTATGTGTGTGTAGTGTGTGTATCTGTATGTGTGTAATGTGTATCTGTTTGTGTAGTGTGTGTATCTGTATGTGTGTATCTGTGTGTAGTGTGTGTGTATCTGAATGCATGTAACATGTGTATCAGTGTGTGTAATCTGTCTTTGTATACCTGTGTGTAGTTTGTGTATACTGTATGTGTGTAATGTGTATCTGTGTGTTTAGTGTGTATCTGTATGTTTGTGTATTTGCATGTGTGGCAGTGTGTGCATCTGTATGTGGTCAGAGGGTTTCAGCAGACTCCCGGTGGGAGATCTGATATCGCTCTCCAGAGGAGTGCAATTTTTGGAACAACTAGGATAGTGTGCAGAACCCTCAGACACACTGGTCTATGGTAGAGGACCCGAGAATTAGGAATACGCAAAAAATATTTCCCGGGAGGGGTGAGAAAATAATTTGTCTTTTATACATATATCTCAAGCAAAAAAAACATGATCCTGTTATGGGTACTAAGGGTACCATTCCGTCTTGCCATAATTTCCTCCATTTGTAAATAAAAATAACTTTATTCAGTAGCATCTTGAAAATGTGTGCTGTGATCCAACATAATTTAACAAAGGGGGCAAAAAGTTTGACTTTAGACTGCGGACCTTGCAAGAGAACTAGCAACGAGTTCAAAAAGTGATATCCAGGAGGAGACTGTCACAACTAGTGTGGTCCAGCATGCAGAACTATGTAACATCCACATAGACAGAATGGAAAAAGACAGAACGTAAACCGTTCCTTAGAATGGCTGGACTAATACGTTAAAGACAGAAAATGGTCAAGGGATAGCCGAGATCAAGGAAGCCAGAAATACACAATACAGTTAAACAGGCCAAGTCAGGGAAACCAGAAATCAGAATAGTCAGGAATAGCGAAGGTCAATGTACCGGGAATAGCAATAATAGGAACGGAAAACGCACTCTTGGGACCCAGGAACGGAAACCACGACAGGGCAATGAATTGGGTAGCTTCAGGGATTTAAATATCCCTCCTTTGACTGTGATTGGTCAGAGAGTGACCTCTGACCCCAGAACGTGCGTGTGCGTCAACGTCGTGACGTCACACGCACGTTCGTATGATCCTGGGGGGCCGGGCTATAAATGGTAGCGACCGCGTGGTCAGCGCAGTTTTTCTTTAGGGCAGGAGGGCCGGATGACCCGGCGGAGCAGCTCCCAACTCACAGCTGAGCAAGTAAGCTCAGATAGTCGGTGTGATCGTGCCAGTCGGACGCGACCGCACCTCGGGGCGAGCTGGGGGCCATGACAGAGACTAAGAAAATTCAAACCCAGAAAAAATGTAAACTTCAGCTTTGCAAAGAATATTATGCTTTAATAACCTGCTTTTATCTTGACTTTTGTTAGTAAATTAATAGTCATTTTTGTACAGTTAATGTACAGTGAATTCGTCTTGAATTACATCATCAATATACATGTAGAATTCTTCTGATCACAGCAACTGTTCTTTTCATGTGCATAGTGCACAGTGGTAAATGGACTGAATAGAGGAGCCCACAGTATCCTCCTCTTGAAACTCAAAGGACAGATGCATTTTTTTTAAAGGCGCTGCAGGTAAATCTAAGAGACCACAGCTTAAATAATAGTTTTCAGTGTAAATGGCAAACCAGTGTGAGCAACTGACATAATGCATACTGATTAATAAAATGTTAGTTAAACTTTCTTCTGTTTAAAATATAACCTGCATTCATCCTATATAGGAGACAAATTAACCATTTTTATATACTACTGTGACGAACTGGGCCTCATCACCGGTCCTTGGAGGGGTATACTTGCCAGCCTCCTATGCTGTGATTATGGCACCTGTGTTAAACCCTGTTTGAAAACACTATTTGTGCCTGTTGGGACTGGTAACAGGAACCATTCAAACTTTTGAAGTGGCACTTCGAACTCCCGAAGCCATTCGAAGTGCCATTCGAACACGTTGTGGCGGCCATCTTGTTCGCAT